CAGTATCAATTTTAAAACTATCGGTTAATTAATCGGTATCGGCCAGTGTGGTCCAACCTAGCTATCGGTATCGGCAAAATCCACTATCGGTCGACCTCTAATATATAACAATGTAATAATATTTAGTATTTTCACATCTAGGTGGAAATTTTTTTTAATTTGTACTACTGTCTGTTCAAAATAAATGAAATGAAACCGAGCATAGTAGATTTGTTTTTTTCCCTGTTGTAGCGAAATCGTATCGAACCGTGACCCCCAAACCGAGGTACGTACCGAACCGTGACATCCGTGTACCATTCCACCCCTATATATATATATATATATATTATTTTTGATATAGTTCACTATTTTAGTACTTAAACTTCATTTCAGTTAGTTGGCAAGGCAACATTTAAAGTTTTTAAGTTTATGGATATCGTCCAATATTTAGATTTTATTTTAGCTTTACTTAAAGGGGTCATATGATGCTGCTAAAAAGAACATTATTTTGTGTATTTGGTGTAATGAAATGTGTTTATGTGGTTTAGAGTTAAAAAAACACATTATTTTCCACATACTGTACATTATTGTTTTTCTTTGCGTGAACATTTGGGCGGCGTTATGCAAATCTTCCCACATAGTGAGGTAGATATGTGGGGGCGTGTTAGAACGAGCCGTTTTAGGTAGGTGTGGCTGACTCTGAACTTTTATAAAGAATATCTCTTTGGATTTGAGACTTTAGTCTTTGCAACTTTACAGATCTTCTTTATGCACCAAGAGCTTGTAACACTCCAAAGAGAAAGGAAAAATTGAAATCGCATCATATGACCCCTTTAAACTAACAAAAATGATTTTTAATAGTTTTAGACAGTCAAAATTTGATGAATAACTACTGCCATGAACAGTGGGCAAACAGAGTTATGTAAACCAAACGGGCAATTTACTATAATTTAGTAATAAAAATTTACATAGAAAGAGGACATATTTGCGAGGAAAGTGCTTTTTCAATATTTTAAGTACCTGGTTAAACTGTACTGCTGATATTAGAGAATAAGACTAAGTTTTTTTGCAATAAAATAAATGAATTTGCCCCATTTTCAAAACTGCTCTTTAAAGGTTAACATCTGTATTTATTTAGTGTTATTTTAACACCATGTCAACATCAAGGCCATCTTCAGTGTAATTTAGTAAACTATGCGTTAAAAAATAACAGTTATTGGAGTTTGAAAAGAAAGACATGATGTTGTTCATCACCTTTCCTCACGGTATTAGTCATTGAGATAATGAGATATTAATTTACCCCCAATTCAACTCCCTAATTTTCTAATAAATCTGTAAAGGAACTGTGAATTTTAAAGGTGGGGTTAAGTCTGAGTGAAAGTATCTTTCATTGCTAGCTTTTAAAAACCCTGAAGTCACTGCCACAAAAACACAGCAGTCTTTTATGCTAGCAGAAATGGCCGCCTAAAGCTATCTAGACAGACAAGGTGTGAACAATGACATAGCATACGTGCAGCACTGAGCCTCAGGCTGCACTTTACAGTACACACACCGAACCCAAGTCTTTTATTGGGGGTGAAGCACGCTGTTATGAAGGCAAACTAGGCTGAACACACGCTACTATAGCACAAACAACAAGCTACAGTTGATTCATTTGAGACATCAAAGGCTGATTGGTGGGAACTTGTTGTAGCATGTTAAAGTATTCTCTGTAGGGATTCTAGGGAACACCAAATTACGGTCCTCACTTGTTCATGTTACTGTTATGTCTTATGTGCAGGACATAATTATATCAGTTAGAAACATATGCAATGCTGTTGTGTTGTCTTCCATATTTAAAGCATCCTTAAAACCGCTTTCAGCTCTACTATTTTTCCACACTATTTTTCCAACAAATTTGTTGTTTTGGGTTTTAATGTTTTTGTGATTCATTAGAATACGGTTTAGTAATTTGGTAAGAATGCAGATCAAGGCAACGCTCGAGCACATTGGCAATTATATAGGCCTATTACATAATGCACATTATACAGTATTAAATTAGGACACCTCTTGTGAGAAATAAGGCTTAAAAAGCCTACCATGATTATATCTCCTGCCCGGATGTTGAGTGCAGTTGGGTCATGGAGATTCCAGTAGTCCTTCAAAGCTCTCACCTGCAATGCTCCGCTAGCGTCTGATGTCACAACCCAGGGAAATTAATGCATGAAAGAATAAGAATGAGAGAGAAATAAAAACAGTTTGCCTTGAAAATACTCATCAAGTCATGCACTATGGGTTTAAGTAATCTCTGAGGTCTTCGTATTGATTTAGGTCCACAAAATTGCTACCGGAAAACCTAAGAATTCAATACTCAGGTGGGATTTGTTGCAATAAAGAAGTGTAATTTAAAGCAGAATTTAAATAGGAGTAATGTAGTGTCTAAATACTCTGAAGCACTTAGCACATCTGAAAATTTAATGAGGAGCTGAGCTCAGAACAGGGATGCTAAACACCCCTCATCTTCAAACACAGCTCCTTCAGCCGTTTTAAGGCTCAAATCAAAGCGCACACTTCAAAGACAACAAGCAGCTGGATTACAGGAGGAATAGTAGAAGGGCACAGCAACTTAACACATTCAGACGTATGCCTAGACCCAGACACGCAAACACGTAAACAAAACTTTTAGCTAAATCTCCAGGCATGGCTGCCATTGTTGTTGCCCCGGGATAGTAATGTTATGCAACACTATAACTTTATAACAAAAGCTATGAAAGCAGGTTCCCAGAAACACACCAAACACTAAACACACTCTAAACAACTATTGTCTACTTTCAGTCTAAGCTAACAATGAACAAAGGCTCATGGCCTGATATTAAATAATATATTGTACATCAACAGAAGAAAGAAAGAAAGAAAGAAAGAAAGAAAGAAAGAAAGAAAGAAAGAAAGAAAGCCATGAGGAGGAAAAGGAAGAAAGAAAGAAAGAAAGAAAGAAAGAAAGAAAGAAAGAAAGAAAGAAAGAAAGAAAGAAAGAAAGAATATTGTACATCAACAGAAGAAAGAAAGAAAGAAAGAAAGAAAGAAAGAAAGAAAGAAAGAAAGCCATGAGGAGGAAAAGGAAGAGGGGAAAATGTATGGAAAAGAAAAGGAAAGGAATGGAAAAAGTAAATAAAGAAATACAAAGTAAAGAATGGGAAAGGAAAGGAAAGGAAAGGAAAGGAAAGGAAAGGAAAGAAGAAAAGAAAAGACAGTTCAAATAGCTAGCATTATATATATGGTTGCATATAAAATATTGTCATTGTATTTTTTATGGTGATTTCTGGCAACCACAGCTGCCAGTTTTGTTTATTTTTTATTTTATTGGATATTTATTTATTTATTTATTTTACAGTGATTTGTTATAATTGAGTGAGATGCTGGCCTGAGTATGTTTCATGCTAAAGGCAGTAAAAGTGTTTCTTTTAATTTGAGAAAACCTTTTATATGAGTCAAAGACCATGGTGATTATTCTAGTGGTCTTTTTTAGTATAATCCCTTGTGCCGAGAGCAGCAACAAGGTATTTGCTGGGAGACAGATGTGCAGTGGAGGAGTCAAAACAAGAGCCATTTTATTTTTCCACAGCAGCCTTTTTTTCATCTTTTCTTACACTGTAGCATTGGCCTTTCTGTATGTCCGATGACGATGACATTATATACAGTACCTCATATCACTATAGTTGTTTAATGAGTGGCATCACCCATTAAGCAGTACTTGAAAAACCTTGAAATTTAGCATTGATAGTGCTGTGATGAAGAAACGTAAATTGCTCTGCAAAGCAGAAAGCTTGACTGAGAGTGGTCTCATCCTGCTAGATTAATGCAAAGAAAGGTCAGAATGAATAAAGGAGAAAGGGAAATGCCAGGAGAAGGAAAATGAAGAGGGTAAAAAAATGTATGGAAAGGAAAAGGAAAGGAATGGAAAAAGTAAGTAAAACAAAGTAAGTAATGGGAAAGGGAAAAAATGAAAGGGGAAGGGAAGGAAATGAAAGGAAAGGAAAGAGGAAAAAATAACAGCAAGAAAGAGGAAGGAAAGGTAAAAAGATAAATTAAAAGGAAAACAACAGGTGTTTTGGATTTCTGACTCACTTCTAAGGAGTTGTTTGATTTCTTTGCTGGCATGTGAAGTGGTGAACTGGTTCACAATGTCCAGGGCTGTTTGATTGTAGGTGTTGCGGATGTTCACATCAATCCCAGCCTAAGTGTCAGATGATGAAGGGTTGGATTGATATGTGAGGGTTAGTTCAGGTGAGAAAAAACACTCTGTATACCGGCAGAAATACAAAGAATGATATATCATTGTGTTCTGATATGACAGACTCAAGCGCTACACTGTGGGAAAGCCCCCAAAACTGGTTCTACAATTCACAGCATTTTTCCTTGATAATAAATCTGACATAAGAAATAAATCAAATTAATCAACACTTCCCAATATTTTGTATCCATCTACTTACATCAAGCAATAATTGTACTACTTCCGTTTTCCCATAGAGGGCAGCCTCGTGTAGAGCCGTTCCGGATTTAGTGGTTCTGTTGATGTAAATCCCAGCTTTTAGCAGCAGCCTAAAAATGAGTGATAGACCACAGTGACACATGAGCCATACTGTCCACAAGACACCAACGAAATCACTCAATGGTACAGTCTGCTGCTCATTACCACAACATTCTATCCGACACACTGATCAGGTCTTTTTGTCCCTTATTAAGTGGCTACTTACAAATTAATTAATATTAATTTAAGAGAATGATTTATCAGGTATAGATATATTTTGTAGATACTGATTTCAGTTGAAATTATATGTGAGAAGAAACAAGCTGTAAAAAGATACAATATGAGAAACATGAAACTAGCACAACTATGTAGGGTTTTTTTGTGATACCTCTATACAACTACAAAACCAAAATCAGCATGAGAAATTGCATAGTGAGTGGGCAGCACTGAAACCACATGATGATAGTGAGTTCAAGACCACCAGCAAGGGGTCAAAAGTCATGGCAATTTAAAGCCTTTGAGTAACAAAAACAGCCTCTGCATCAATCAGATTTACATTGTGTCTCTTCAGGATTCAGTATCTAAAGCAGCAGTGCAGGCTCCATTTTCCATTTAGCTGTAATTGATTAATTCAGCCAATTGAACGGATTAAAAGCCTGCCTTCCCTCTTTAAATAAGGTCATCCAAAGTGTTCACCCAAAAATGAAACTTCTGTCATCATTTACTGACCTTCATGCTGCTCCAAAGATTTTTGATTAATGTCTAGCCTGCTCTTTTCCATATAAATAAAGTGAATAGGGACTAGGGTTACACAAAAGAATCAACCATAAAAGTAACATTAAAAAGGAGTTCATACAACTTGTACACTACATTCCAAATTCTTCTATAGTTATATGAAAGCTTTGTATGAGGAAACGATTTTTTTTGTGGGAAAATCTTTCCTGCTGCAACTTTCAAATCAAATATGGTGTCAGTGACATCACAAGACATGTGAGGGCCTATATGATGCCTGCTATTGATCATTTTTGTAGTCCATTTCAGAACTTTTTTGTAAATAACCTTCTATTAAATGGATAAGAGTGACCAATATATTATTTAAAACTTCTCCTTTTGTGTCCCACTGAAGAAACTAAGTCATACAGGTTTGAGGGTTAGAAAATGATGACAGAATTTTGGGTGAACTATTAGTCAGTAGTGAATTTGGCAATAATAATAATTATTAATCTCAGCAAAAACATAATAATTGTAGCAATTAATTGATTGCTTGTTAAATTCAGCTTGAATTCATTCAGTTTTAAGAATCCAATGCTTTATACTAAGAAGCGTAGAGCGGTCTCCTGTTACCACTGTCCATCTTTCCCATGTTTACAGGTTCCAGCATTCCAGAAAGGCAGTGGAGGGGAGAGCTGCAGCATGAACTTTCATATATGGTTACTGCGAGAGAAGCATGTTGAGCAGCTGACTGGCTGGTGTAACCCTATTCGGCCTCATTCCTATGCATGTTACCATCACAGCGCAGTCACAGCCCTCAGAGGGGAGGGCAGCCCAGGTCAACACATGCACACAGCACCAAACACACTACACTCATTCCACAACCTCTTCTCTTCACCTCACTTGCTCGACAAACATGTCAACAAAGCACCCAGCCAAAGTCTGACTGACCGTCAGCTTGACACCACACAACTTTGCAAAAAAGACAGACAACCTCCCCCCGGCAGGCTTGCATGCATATAAACTAGGGCTGGTAAGCGATTAAATTTTTTTTATCTAATTAATTACATGATGTGGCGATTAATTAATCTAATTAATCACAAATTAATCGCACATCAAATATGGCTGAGAAATTACTCCCAAAAGATCATTTAAAGTCATTGTTGTGTAAAGCATCAAACAAACATTACAAAAAATAGCTTCAGCAAGAAATATTTTGTTTGATAAAATTTATTACATATACTCTTTTGGACCACGAGGGTGAGTAAATGATGACACAATTGTCATTTTGGGGTGGGTGAACTATACCTTTAATAATTAATTTTATTAATTTTATTATTATTACTATGGAAATATTAAATAATTTCTTTAATGAAATGATACTCTAAATAATAAACTAAAACTGTCAGTAGTGCAAAAGAAAAAAATAACGACTTTATTCAACAATTCGTCTCCTCCTCGTAACCCTGTAGCAGCATTTTGGAGAGTATCCGCTGGGTGTAAACAACGTAAGCTGTTCTGTGTCAGCTGCATCACGCGGATACGCTGTTTTCGTTCAGATCAAATCACAACAATGTAGGAAACAGATCCGGCGTGACGCAGCTGACGCTGCTCCATTGCAGCGGCTTAGTACTGTAATCACGCGCTTTGCTGTAATAATGCAGGGAACCACTCGTTATAAATCTCCTAACTGTGATATTTTCAGAAATAGAAGTTGCGTTATTTTCATCTGAAACATGCTGCGATTTATATTCCAAAGCCACTCATATAATGCAGAAACACTCAAGCAAGCAAAACACGTGCAATGCGTGCACGTATTTGTACTGGTGCAGAATAGTACAGCCTAGCGCATTTCACACAGGCTGCTAGATTGTGCGTGTGCTCAGTGAGTGAACATCAAAGATCACACAACAGAAGTGCACGCGCTCTTTCTCTCTCTCTCCCTCCCTATCGTTAAGTAACTTGTGCGTTGATTTACTTACTTGTTTTTGACATATCCAACCAAACTACAAACTTTCCAGTGATGTCTGTGAGAAAGGTACATTCACTCGACAAGCTTGCGCATCTGCGCCGCTGCGCGCTCAATCCACTCAGCGTGCTTTGCATAGCTCGCGCACATCAGCTATACAGGCGTTAATACTGAATGTTTAACATTATATTCATTGCATACATATACTTCGTAGACATCTTTAATCTCTAATAACTCCATTCTGCTGTTTGTTGTCGGTGTTTCTTTGTCTGAAAATGGCACTTATCACATGCTGTGTGGTATCGGCGTTTGGTATCGGGGCATTTTAACGAGTACAAGAGCTCAGTATCGGCCCCGATACCAGTATCGGTGCATCCCTAATATATATATATATTAGGGATGCACCGATGCCACTTTTTCCAGTATTCGCCCGATACCGATACTTTTATTTTTGGTACTTGCCAATACCGAGTACTGATACCAATATTTTTATTGCATTGTATGAAGAAATTTTGGGTATAATTTGTCAAAGTTTACTTAATTTTTTCTATCCTCACTTACATAAATGAACTATAGTGTCCTGCATCTGGTTTCTGAATAATTTTTGGTTTGATTGTATATCCTTTGGTTATTTTCACACTTACTTATGCCCATTAAAATGTATTTTACAAGTTTTTGTTAATTTCACTGTTCTTTTTTTCTCTCTCTATGGTAGCCTACATCATCTTTAATTTAATAGCATTAGAGCTGCTCCATTGCAGCGGCTTAGTACTGTAATCACACGCTTTGCTGTAATAATGCAGGGAACCACTCGTTATAAATCTCCTAACTGTGATATTTTCAGAAATAGAAGTCGCGTTTTTT